AAACGAACGTTTATTCACTATGCAAAAGAATCCAGAACCTCACATAATTTACTTAGAAGGCAAAAAATTTTACTATTTATTACTATTACCAACTCTATATATGTACTATAATGCTGAAAACAGTCAACGAAAAAAGACAATCAAGATGTGTAATGTAAATTTAATCTTAAAGAAAGCTTTATATACATATATCATTTACTTTATATAATTTTTAAATCTAAATAAAAGTTAAGCTCGTTGGGTAAAGTGTATAAATGTGAATAAATACCAGTGGTGTTGTTTAATAATAATATAGGTCAAGGGTTGTAATGTGTTCCACTCACAGGCTTGATCCAAACTCAGCAAGTTAGCCAAACTTACGTGACAAAAAAATAACTAAATAAAATAGTTAATAATAATAAAATACCAATACACAATGCGACAAAAAAATAAAAGCTTATCACGAAGTATCATCAATAAAACCCCTCTCTTTTTAGCAAAACAAAGCTGTTATTTTGCTCGTATATCTGAAATATAGAGATCAGTGTATCTTATTACGTCACTCTGCCAAGTTAGCACTCGGATCCAAAAAAAAGCCTGGTTCAGTTTGAGCCTGAACCAGACTTGAACTTGACCAAAGATCCAGTTTGAAAATTCGAATCCAATTAAAAGTCTGGTTCAAGTTCAGTTCAAACTTTTAATCTGACTCGAACCTGATTAAAAGTCCAGTTAGAGTATGTATATATGTACACCTCACCTGATTTGATAATAACAAAAATAATCAATAGCATTACGTATTTTCAGAAATTTCTATTATAATAAAGATTAAGATTAAAAACTGATTTTAAGCTTAGGATTAGGATTACAGTTAGGGATGGTGATCCAGGTTATATATAAAATTGTCTTTTTAACATTTTTTATTAGTACTCTGAACTGATTAGACATTTATTTCTTGTATTTTCACATTTCTTGCATTTTTTATTTTTTTTTATGTCAGTTTGTTTTGCTGGGTTGATCAAAATTTATGCATTCTTATTGACTGTTTTTTATCCTAATCAAATCAGATAAGATATATAAATGCATGTATTAATATTTAAAATAAATTTTCAAAAAGTTATATAGGTTTAAAAAATATTTTTAATTATTTAAAATTTTATTCACTTTATTTATATTTTTTAATAGTAAACATAAATTATAATTCTAAGCAAAAGTTATAGACAAAAATGTAAATTATAGATTGATATATAATAGGTATCATTAATAAATATTCAAAAAGATATATAGAATTTACAATAAAAATTCATAAATATAAAAATGAAATTATTTTAGTTATTATTAAGTAAACTTTTAATTGTTATTAAATACTATAAATTATATATATATATACAAGATTATAGTTTATATTTAGAGCTATAAATTATATAATGCTATATGTCAATTTCAGACTCATACAATGATTTAATTTGAATTTAGTTTGAACTTCAAATCTGGTTCCAGTTCAGTTCAAATTTCAAATTAGACTCAATCTGAACAAAAGTTCAGTTCAGTTTAGTTTTTAGAAATACTAGTTAATACTTTATCACTTGATTATTTTGCTTTATTTATTTAATTTTATAAGTTTCACATATAATATAACTTTTATAAAACTAATAAAAATATTTTCCAACTATAAAAAAATTCATGAAATAATTGGAAAGAATTAGAATAAAGTATATAAAATATGAACTTCAAAATTTTAATTAGAGATAAAGCTTATTTATAATAGTTATAAAATTAACAAATCAAAATTTTAATAAAAGAAAAATTGAAAATGAAAGTTAATCAAAATGCAATAAGTTTTATGATAAACTTGAACACTTGTGACTTCTGACAATATAATGATAACTTGTTTAATTACTAAAGAACTCTCATCTTCATACTATAATTATAAATAAATTTAATTAATATCACCAAATCTTTAAAAAGAATAATGATCAAAATAGTAATTGAATTCAAATTAACTCATTTTGATTCAAGTTAAGTCAAGTTATAATTTTTTAACTCGAAGAGTACTTGAGTCAGAATATGAATTAAAATACAAATTGACTTATATTAAATAATTTGAGATAAGTAATTTATAATAGCTTATATATATAATAGAACACAAAATTAACTTACTAGAATTTTTATTTTCATGAATATTAGTTCAAACAAAATAAAAAAATGTTTATTTGAAATCTTAAAATTATTAATATTTTTTAAAAATAATTTAGCAATAGATTATTTTGTGAAATAAAGTGATTCAAATCAAAATTTATAATTAGTAAATTTCTCTAACTAAAAATATTTACTCTATAAAATCTATTTATTTATTAATTTTCATAAAAATTATTACAAAATTTATCAAAATTTGAGATTTTGAAGGAACAAATTTATGTTATAAGTATTAATTCATGTATTTATATTTCTAGCATAAATTTAGTCTTAGAATTTTAAATATCTATAAAAATTAATAAATAGATAAAGTTTATGCACATCTTTATACTATATTACCAGAAATTAAAAAAAAAGTAAAACATAATAAAATTAATATTGTTTCTTTATATTAAAATTTATTAATAAATAATAAATTTTAATATAAAAACAATATTAATTTTCAATTTCTGATAATATAATATAGGAATATGTAAAGTAGAATATTTTTTTTAATTAGTGATTTATTATAGAAAAAAAGTTTTTTAATATAAAAAATTAACTATTATAAATTTTAATTTAATTTACTTTATTTACAAAATAATTTATTGCTAAATTATTTTTAAAATATTAGTAATTTCAAGATTTTAAATAAATATTTTTTTATTTTGTTCAAACCAATAATTATAAAAATAAAAATTTTAGTAAGTTAATTTTTATGTTCTATTATATATATAAATTACTATATAACTTAAGTTAAACTTAATTCAAGTTAGAGTAATCACTTGAGTTAAAATATCACAAACTCAAGTCAGAAAAATTATGATTCAAATTAAGTTTGACTCAAATTAACTCAAGTATGAGTAGTATTTCTATAAACTGAATTGAATTTTTATCTGAATTTGAGTTCAGTTCAAAATTTAAACTGAACTTGAACCAAACTTTGACTTGAGTTCAAGAAAGATTTGAAGTTCAAACTGAACTCAAATTGAATTGTTATATGAGTTCAAGTTTGGTTCAAATTTAATTAAAGATCAACATATGATATCATATACTGATTTATAGTTCTAAATATAAGCTACAACTTTACTTATAAGTATAATTTATAGTATTTAGTAAGAATTAAAAGTTTATACAGTAATAATTAAAATATTTTTATTTTTATATTTATTAAATTTAATTATAAATACTATGTAATTCTTTGAATAATTATTATTAATAATAACTATTTTATATTAATTTGTAATACTTATTTCTGGATATAACTTTACTTATAATTATAATTTATGATTACTATAGCAAAATAAATATTTATTATATTATAACTAAAACAGATTAAAATTGTAATAATTAAAATTATTTTTTAAATTCATATAACTTTTTAAATATTCATCCTAAATATTAATTATTTTATATCAATTTGTAGCTTATGTTAAGATCTATAACTTACTTAGAACATCAACAAATATTTACTTGAACTTGAACTGAACTTTTGATCAGGTTCAAAGTTTGAACTGAACTCGAACCAGACTTTTAATTAGATTCAAATTTTTTAATCAGACTTTTGATCAGATTTGAGTTCAGTTCAAGCTTGAACTGAATCAAATTTGAACCAAACCAAACTTTTTTCAGAACTTTAAGTGTGAGTTCAATCACTAGACTTCTAATTAGATCCAATAGTAATAAAGAATAACAAGTAGTAACAAAGTTCTAAGAATCAAAAAGGATGCTAAGAATCAAAAAGAAAGAAGTCAAGAGAGTAAAGAGAACTAAAAATATAAGTTTAATAAATGGCAACTCAGGTCTATAATTGTTTTGAACTATTAGCATTAGTACACATATATATCTTATTTGGTGAAATGAAGACTTGATAATCACTTGATCATGGAGACAGGTCGAAAAGATCAGCTCACACAAAGTCACGTTAACTGCATGACTAGGATATCTTGCGAAAAGAGTTAGGGTTTGGATCTGGGTCAAAATTAGTAAAATTTCTCAAGAAATCTTTTTTTATTAGAACACAAAAAAATATGTTTATTTTAGTAATTACAGATTGATTTTGCAATTTATTGGTCATCATCACTGACATCATCAAAAAATTATCACGTAGCCCGAACTTTTGGGGGTCGCCCTGGTAGATTCGAAAAATAGCTTGTTCAGTCAACTCTCTCTAAATGCACATCGCTGGGAGACATATGAAATCAAACCTGAGAGTGTATTTAGAGAATTTGTGCATTTATAGAGAGCATTTTACTTAGTAATATTATTAACTTGGGACCGAACCAACGTGTGCATTTATAGAATAGAAATATAGTGTGTGCATTTAGAGAGCGTTGACTGTATCTTGACATTTTACTTATAAAACAATCATTTGTGTTCTAACAAAAAATGTTCCTTGCGAAATTTTACTATATATTATGTTCTTGTTTGTTATATCTTAACCTTAAGCTTAACCTAACACTAACCGAAACTATATTTAATATTATGCAGTATAATTAAGGGGATGTCGAATTCATTAAAGGGGATGTCGAATGATTGGTGTCGGGTATTATAGCGTCATATGTTCTCAATGAAGAATACTTGACCAATTAAAATTTTCCAATATCATTATGACTGCGCATCTTTATTTGACCAAAAAAAGCACATTCGATCTTCGTAATCGCATTGTGTTCTGTACTACAGTTTTAACAAATTTACATATATTGATACATATCGATATCGATATACATGTGATTTTAGTATATAACTTGCCGAGATCTTGGGTGATATGTATTTTTAAACAAGAAAAAAATATATAAATTGAAAACCAAAAAAATTTCTTCTGTCGAAAAAATAAAAAATCAAACAAAATGGCAGACACCATCCTTGAAATGGAAGAGATAAATGGTGATGAGCAATTTTTACAAGAAACGACATCCATCGACCAAAGCATCACAACCATAAACAAGAATCTTGAAAGTATTCGCAGCATTCAGACGCAAATTATAAAGAGCACATCGGTAAACGAAGAACAAGAACATACTCGTGCACGAGAACCAATTGCCGCATCGACGAAAAATCTACTATTTCAAGTGAAAGATCGTATTCGGAAAATCGAACGAGAAAATATCGAACTGGAATATAAGAAAAAGGACGTCGGACTACGTAAAACTCAGTATTCTCGACTAAAAGAAAAATTCACAAATGCCATTAATGCGTATCAAATGGTCGAGCAGACGTATCGACAATTACAGGAAGAACGGATCGCTCGTCAGTACGTTGTCGTGAATCCTAATGCGTCGAGACAAGAAATTGACAATTTTGTTAGAAATTCTTCAGGTAAATTGGTTTTTCAGGATGCGTCATTAAGATCAAACGAAGTTCGTGCGGTCGCAGCCGAAGTACAAAAACGACACCATGATATCAAGAATATCGAAAAGACGATAGAAGAATTGGTTGTATTGACGGAACAGATAGCACTGTCTATCGAAGAACAGGATGATGTTATTAAACATATTGGAGACAATATCGACACTACAGGGGATCAATTAACAAAGACAGATACTCAACTCAAATTAGCTCGCAAATATGCAATTTCTGCTAGAAAAAAGAAATGGATTTTTGCGGCAATTATTCTTGTAATTATCGCGATTATTGTCGTGATTGTGATCATCTATTTGCCTAAAAACAATAAGTAATTGTAGGTGGCTATGATCATTCATATTTTTTAGTAATAGCCGAATTACTCTTCCTGCACGTTTATAAAATCATAATGATATTTCTAAATAAAGTGATAATGATAAAACTATAGGAACTACGTATATCTTGAGATGGTTTTGTTTTTTTTTTTTTTTTTTTTTTTTTTGAGAATATGATGATTCGATTTTTGATTTCACGTGTCTGAGAAATATTTTGCCTGACCTGATAGTGATCCATACATGAGCGTTTAAGCGTAAATTCTTCTTGAAACCATTCTCCAATAAATGAGAGATGTTTATGAAATAGGAAGTAATATACGATGCGTCTCTTGCTTGAAATAATTATCGAGGCGAGAGGCGCAAACTACACCAATTATTTTTTTATGGCAAAAAAGCCCCAATAAAAGGATTTATAATCAAGTTTCTTAGAATAACTTTCACTTCTTATTTATGCAATCGGGTTGTACATGTATATTTTTAGTAAATGTGTAACGAAGCCACATATGGAGGTCACACACATTATAAACTTCTTTCTTAATCTGATCTGACTAATGAAAAAAGAGAACTTTGTGGCATACATGTATAAACTTACGAGTTTGGTTAACAACGTTTGATTGATAACATCCAAAACTGTTTTTTCTTACCCATCACACAAAATTAAGGATTGACTTTTTATATCCAAAGGAAAAACTTGAAATAGAATCTCCAATATTATGATTGGATGTGGAATTATTTGTGGATTTGTAAACACATAATGATAAGTTAAGATGTGCAAGATACAGCGACATTCCTATTAATAGATTTCAAATGTGATAGTGATCTGAAACCAATATGTATGAAATGCTCCAATCAACATGATCAATCATTATCTTTTTGCAGTAAAGATCGTTCTTTTGTGAATGGAAACATGATTTCCATATGTGACCATCATTGTGAAGTGTGGCTTAATAAAGCTTGATAAAATCATTATAAAGAGGAGATTTCAATGCGGGGGAAAAGAACATTAAGCGCAAACAACTCCTTTATGTTTCGCTTTTTTTTTTTTATAGAACAAAGCAATTTATTAAATTATCCAAAACCTTTATCATATTTTATTAGCTTATCTATATAAAATTTAAAGAAACCAAAAAAAAAGAATAACGAAAATGATTGCCATTGAAACAACCACCCAAATTCAAGAAAACATTGTAGTAGGTACCATTGCATGGGCCTCTGGACAACAAAAAGAAAACCGACAGCAGCGAATAAAGAAGAGTTTTAGTGATGAAAGTCTCAATCAAGTAGTTGAAAACTTTTCACAACAAAAATATCCGTCAGCCAATTCAAATTTCTTACCAGAATCTTTGAATAAAAATAATGTACACGGACCATCGATCATCGTAACTGATACTGAAACCAATAAACAACCATTACTCGCGCCGTTCCTATTTGAATACGATTTTCTTTCTGGTACTAGAAAATCGAGATCGAATTCTGAAGTGAGCAATTGCAACAAAGCTGAATGTCTTAAAAATGCTCAGGATTACGATCAAGATGAATCGGTGATTAATATTTACCTTGAGAATCATGAACATCTTGAGCAAGATTGGAATTCACGTACAGTCTTGGATACTTGTTTGAATTCTGACGAAGAGGAACTTTACATTCCAAAACAGGCTCTTGAATTGTCACAATCATTACCGCGTTTCCCGTTTTTGGTTGATCAATTTCCTTCTTCCCAAACAAAAAACGAGAATTCGTTTGAGAATAACCAGATCACGCAACAAGAGCAATTGCAAAAAACATCATCAATCGAAGATTTGTCCTTGAATTTTTCATATTTCTTGCTTAATCATGCCCCAAAAGACACTAACGCTAATGATTCATACGGAAACGATTTATCGAGCATGATTTGTGGCACAAATATTGAATGGGGATTTTCGTCAATGATTTCCTCTAGCATCGCTTTCAACGATGTTCATCAACCCTCGTTCCGTGATGGAAGGGAATTTCAATTGGGTAGAACTTCGGTTTGGTAAAAATATAATTAGATCAAAACATTTTTACTTTTTACTTTTTATTTATTATTTATTTATTATTTTTAATTTCAAATTGTTAATTGCATTACTATAACTGATTATATGTTTTAAGTTTTTAAATTAAGATTTATGTTCCTTTAAAAATTTCATTTAGAAATTTTTATCAATCGTTTTTTTTTTTGCGTTACCATTTTTTTTTTAGTTTTTCGTAAAAGGTGTCCTTTCGCAATATATCTCTTTCGCATTTTATTAATTCGTATGCCTGATTGAATTCAGGATGTTTTTCTAATCGACTTTTAACAATTCAGCTCATAACTGCCTCAATAATTACCACGTTCTGTTCTCTCACTTTTCTGTTCTTTGTTTTTGATTTAATGTTTCTTCTGTTTTTATAATTTGGTTATAACCTCTTTTTTGTCCCGAGATATACATAAATTTATGTATCTCGAAATAAAATTACAATTGCTCCGAAAAAATATTCATATGCATCTATACGTACATGAATCAAATATCTTGCTAGATACAAAAGCAGATTGATAGAATGCGCTTCATTGGGTATTTTATGCACATTGTTGAACCTTGAATATAAAGTGAAGCACCTCTTATTGACTTTAACAAACAAATTTGAAATTGTCTTTTTTTCGATCAAACAACTCCTTCCAAATGGCGTCATCATCAAAATTCTCATCATCTTTATTTAGCCTACTACTCTTACTTTTCCTACTGATCTCTCAAACGCAATCGATCCCATCTCCTTCCGACATAGCAACAAATACATCACCAAACGAAAGCACATCTGTTCTCGAAAAGAAACGTCAATTCTACGAAGAAGTAACAACAGCTGAGCCAGTCATCGAAGAAACCATCGAGGAAACACCAGACACGTTTGTAGAGGAAATTGTCGAAGAACCAACCGTCATCGTCGAAGATGAATACGTCGCACCTGTGTATGAGGAAGAGATAGTCGCTGAAGATGATTTTTTATCACCTGCTTCGTATTATCCGATATCAAATATCTATCCAGCCCCGTATTTCTATGATGAATATTACTATGGTGGGTATCCTTTCATTGAGGAAGAAGAAGAAGAATACTATCCCCTTTCTTATCGTAGCTGTCATCCCCCGCCTCCTTCACATCATTGTCATCATAAACGTCAATACGGACATCATGAGTATCCTCATTGGCGTCACGAGTACTAAACACTAGGAATGGATAGAAATTCTAATAGTGATTATAAATTGTACTCTAATTTGTATTTAAGAAGCAAATTTATTGTACATGTAAATGTATATTAATGGAAAATTCTTCTTCACTACATATCATATGATCTGGCTTGGAAACAAAAGTCTTAAATGACAATTATAATTTATTAAACTTGATTATAATAATGATCTTTTATTTAATAAATACCTACCAATACTCTTCGTCCAAAATGATTTATTCGTGTCTAAAATAATAACACAATAATAGAATAGAATAAAACAAAATAATATAAAATAGTGTAAACAATAGATCTAGAAAGACATTATTAAGACTGAGCTAGAATCAAAAAATGGGATTCAACGCGTGGATATACTCCCTAGAAAGACACGCCGATTCAGCTGCGAGAATCACAGCGTTCCCATCTACCCAATTACATGAGGCACTCGAGTACTTGAAGAGACTTCAATCTTGTGAGAATTTATTGTATAAAGAAGTCGGGGAACAAAGTGAAGGTAAATAAATATACACAATAACATATCGATATACGTATATAACATACATGTACATATATACGTATATATATAAATAATATATAATTAAATTTAAACATATATATTTTTTTAAAATTTTCTATCAAGTTTCGATCTTGGTCAGTAATGCAATAAAGGACATTCATCTTGCCATTAATCTGAATGGTAAGTAATCACATTGCAATCATAAGAATCTATAGATATCATAAGAATCTATAGATTTCTTTATTCTATTCTAATAATTATTTGGAAACAACATCAGAAAAAGTAGAACGAACTTTTAAAAGCCTAGAAAAAGAAATGGTAGATAATGACTGTGATGACGAGAATAAAAAAGACGAGAAGATTTTTCGTGCACAAAACAAGTTTAAGAAACAAGCGCGTAGATTGAAGAAGAGGTTTCAGCGTGATGTCGATAGATTGGTCGAATTGTGGCATGCGAATACTAAGGAATTGGGTCATGAGCAAGAGGAAGAATCGTGAAATTTTATTCAAAGGTTTTAATGTTCTGATAATATTTCTTAGAATATGTAATATTATTAGTTTTACTTGATGAAAAATTAGAATACCTGATAGAAATCTATCTTTGATTGATTTATAAGAAAATAAATTAGTATGCAAATAAAGTACTTATCCAAATCCTACATACATCTCACGTGCATCACTATCCAATTTCAAACTAACAGTAATTCTAACTTCATTTTCTCCGTCTTAACTTCCAATTTCGCGAGCTGCCAATCTTGATCGTCTTCAAGATTAATTCTTTCGTGATTCTTGTTCACGAAAAAGACGCGATCACGATTCAGCACTGTCTGAACACGATGCTCGATCGTGACGAGCAGTTGTTCGAGAGTGAAATGTGTGGGAATCGTTAAGATGAAGCGACGAAAGACGAAGACACAATCGATTTCGAGCTTTTTTGATATGGGTGAAATAATCAGCTAATAAATAAAAACAATGAATGTATATAGGTTATTACCATCTGCGGTTCCTTTTCACCAAGTTCTCGATTAGTTGAAGTTGGACAGAGATTTTCAGACTAAAAAAAAATATATATTAAAAGTAGCACTCAATAGTGGACTTGATAATAGATGATTTATTGGACGTGGTAATTACTTTAGTGGTAGAAGATGGTTTATCGAAACGGAATTTCTTTATAATTTGTCCAAATACCATTACAGACTCTGATTTAACATCGTCACTTGGTGTAAAAACAAGGCTAGCTGCATTTTTTAGGAAATCAAGAGAAATGGGATTCTTCATCTTCTCCTTTGACTGAAATAAACTTCCAATTATATCCGCGTCAACTACCTTTTTTAGTCAGAGAGCATTAATTTTTATAATACACATAATCAAAAGATCCATATCTTTACCTTTATCAAATTAATAAATCCATCAAGTAGCTGAACATAAACCTTCCCATCAGCAATCCTAAACTTTTGAATCTGCTTAAACGGAATTACGATCTCTTGTTGCACATTATAAAAACCCCAGGATAATTCAAGCAGCTCGTAACGCACAATCAATGCCATTTGCCCGTAGTCAGACGAGTCATATACTTTGGCGATGGGATTTACGTGTACAGAGTGTAAATTTATTTTTAGAATGTCGTCAATGGTTCTACTGCTTCTTGTTGCTGATGTCATTTCGTTGAAATTTTCCATGGTTCTCTTTTCTTTAAATCATTAATAAAGGGTTCTTTTATTTTAAATAGATGTTTGTTTACTTACAGTTATTGATAAATTGATGATTCGCGTCAAGTACCCGCAGATCGAGGGCAAATCAATTTTACAAATCTGTACACATCGACCTTGACAAGCTCTGTTGTACTTGGAAACCAATTACGTACATTTCTGTACACGAAACATCTGGAAACTTCGGTTTGTACATGAAACTTTGCAAACGAAAATAATTTAGTAAGTGTGAAATAAAACCAAAATCTGATACTATCCTGGAGTTTTGAATTACTTTGCGAGAAGCAATGCTTTTTCCTCTTGAACAAAATTACCTGCTACTCCAGAATAATCAAATTGTTTTTGGTGAGGCATTTTTGGATGTAGTTCAAATTCAATAAATAAATATGGTTTTAGTTATTCTGGTAGGTGAGAAGGACAAATTTTCATAACGATAACAATAATCATCGAACTTTAATCTTAAATTTGTACAAAGTCGATGTATTCAGGGGCCTATAATGATAAAAACCGGATCCTATGCCAAGCTTATTTTTTTCTGCATGCAATCGAAACAATTCTTTTTGTGTGCATCGCCAAGATCTTGTGTTTTCAAAGTTTACTCTTCACGTATACAGTAAAAAAATTCAACATATGGTTCAAGTAATCTATACTCAACAATTTATTTCAATTTTTAAAATCTTTCAACTCAATGTAGAGACAAAATTTTCAAAATTTGTCCGGTAACTTTATAGGTCAAATTTTGAAAATTTTGTCTCTACATTGAGTTGAAAGATTTTAAAAATTGAAACAAATTGTTGAGTATAGATTACTTGAACCATACGTATAAGAAAAACTAGGAAAAACACATTACATTTATTACATTTTGCTAAAAAGGTGATCTTCAAACCTTTATTGGTCATTATTGGTTCCCTATTAAGTTTACGAACCTTATTTTATGTTAGTGCATAATTATATAGGTCTTCATAGATACGTAGTAATACAGAATTTTCTATATATATCTATATATATCGATATTAATTATTCATTTCGGGAATCGGTTCTTATTCATGCACCCACAAACAAAATATACGTATCGGTATATAATTCTGAACAAATCAATGTTATCGTACACGACACAATTTTTAATAATCTTGTGTCGCGAGACTAATTTATGATTTTTTTCCGATTGACATTAAATGTAAAACTGTTTTTTTCAAGTTTGATAATTCTTTGCTCTTTTCGTTTCAGAGTTAAAGATATTATTCCTTTATTGTAATTTTTATACGTATCTACTCACATTCTTTTATATCTAAAAAAAACCAACTACATCCTTTTTATATTCTAAATACACATACGTATAAATGGGCGTGTGCATGGGCGCGTGCTCTTCAAATCATAAATATGACAGTTACGGAGTTCGGCGGTTACAAAGCAGACTGAGATTCAGATATCAAATACTTGACGGACGACGATATCAAAATCTTGATAATTCAGTGTATTGGCTTCCGGTTGACGACATTGAGGCTGAACGTTCATTAAACAACCATCTCTTTCATAAAAGAATTTGGAATGGCAATTTTCATGCACCGATTACAGAAAGATTGAGAGCTGGCGGGCGAGATGTGCGAGTATTGGATATTGGGTGTGGTCCAGGCGCTTGGATCTTAGAGATGGCCAAATTTTTTCCCAATGTAAAATTCATAGGTTAATATTATCCAAGATCTTATTACATTTTAGTGTATTTTTCTCGCGGGCATTCATTCTGAGAAAAATGCTCTATCTAGGAATCGATGTATCAACCACGTTTTCAACTGAGAACATTCCACCGAACGTCAGATTTATCGAATGCAATATCCTAGATGGCCTACCGATTGCCGATGCCTCAATGGACTTTGTTTTCCAACGGTTTATAACGCACGGACTGAATGAGATTCAATTCAAAGAACAAATCATTCCCGAAATGATAAGAGTAATGAAACCGGGCGGGTGGATTGAATTCACGGAAGGTGATTGCTATCAATCAAAGGATGGGATAGTTACAAAAAGGCTTGCAGCAGGAAGTAATGTTACTCAATTTTTTTCTCATGATATTTTTAGGAAAAAGAAACTGAATAGAAATTATATTTTGATAGTCAGAAAATTTCTAAAATTCAGAGGAATAAATGGGTTGATCGCACGTGAGTTACCAGGTATATGTAGAAAAACTGGCCAATTCGGTCAAGTTTTTTATGATTCTCGGACAATTCGGCTTGGTCTTCAAGGAGGAGAAATTGGAGAAATAGTGTGTATTAAAACAAAAAGTAAAAAATAGATAATCTATTTCCCATGTATTAATCAATTCGTTCATTCGGCTAGGCATTGCGAATCATATATGAAGGAATGAAAGGTGGACGAATACCAATCGCCGCATATCTGAATATAATGCCAGAGCATTACGACGCATTAACTGAAACAATGCTAATCGAAGCCGAAAAAGGTGAGACGACATGGGATATACATAAATGTTATGCGCAAAAAAAACTAGACGACGCTTAGCCGTTTATTTGTAATCATGTTTGGCTAAAAAATATGGTATCTATATCAGTCTAAACATTCCATGTTAAGATTTGCATGCACGACATCGATAAATAATAATAAGCCTTGAGGCTTGAACAATAAATCAAATTTCGTTTGCCACAACTAATAAATATAAATTGACACTTTTATCAAATTTTCGACCAAAAAATTAAAAATCTTTCATGCAAAATGGGAGGACATCCAGAAACATCGGGAGAAAAACATGAATCAGAAGAGTTAAACGAAATTCTTCTTCGCTCCGCGCCAACAACAACTCCATCCGTTGTATTCGTGATTATGTTTTCGATTACTACACTTCTTTTGGCATATAGAGGTTTAGGAACACTACGAGCATTCTATCTGCGACTTTTGTTGTTCTCTCTGACACGCGATATTACATTTATGTTTCGAATGGCATGGTCGAGTAGTCATTCTGAAACTCAGCAAATCGCTGTAGCCGCGGCAGTTTTTGAAGTTGGTGGTACTTTTCTTGTGTTATGGGCGGTATACACGTTACTTGAAGATTGGAGACTATTTCTATTATACGGTGCACCAAATTACAAGAAACAAGGGAGAAAATTGTTGTTTTTTATTAGATTTAATGTGATGAGTTTCTCGGCGCTATCTTTAATAGCGGCAGCCAACGAGTACAGCAGGAAAATGAAAGACTACGATCTTGGAGTTCTATTACGAAAAATCTCAATTATTGGATTCACTGCCATCCTACTCCTAATTCTCGGCTTGATCCCATATTACGCAAGCACAATCCCGGCCGTATACCATCATATTGGGGTTCGGAATAAAATAGCATTGCCGTTATTCGTGGGTCCGTTATTACTACTAATTGGACGCGTGTACCAGATAGCCCTGTATTTTTCACCGAAGTTATCCGATGTGGTTCGTAATCAATGGTGGTATTATTTGTTTGTGACTACCCCGGAGGTGCTGCTGTGTTTCATGTATGGGATTATTAATTTTGAAAAGTTCTTTTATTTGAAGTATGATGAACTTGTTAATGAGGAAGAGCATAAAGGGGGAGATGAAGGGCATAAAGAAAAAGTTACGGCTTCGGAATTTTTGTCGCAGCATTAAATTAATATTTGATCTTTATTTGTATAGTTTATGTTTGTAATAATTCATATTACGTATAACGATAACATTTAAATACTGTATACCAATACTAAATTAATTGATGGACTGAACCCGTTAAATGGAGCGATACCATGGATTATAAGGGCTTTAACTGAACTGCATTACAAATTCTCAGAATTACTAACATAACGTTAAGACGATTCCTTATCAGCTGAAGAGATTTTCTTCGATAATTCATGCGTGTCTGGTTTTTCTTTTGAAGAAGTCGATATCATTTTTCGTTTTAACCATTTTTTTAGACATGACTGAATTGGATTGCATTTTCGATCCTTGCAAAACAATTAAACACTCACTCACTGCAATTAATTGCAAAACTAACGAATATATGTCCAAACTTCGCAATACGACACTAATAAAATATTAATAAGGCGGGTAAATTGTATAAAATAATTTGCCTTTTTTTTAGCGATAGTATGTAGTAACGGTAGTTACTCATTGACAGAGACCTTGTGACAACCACTTACAATATGCAATTTGATTTATCGCTGGCACTGCCTCGCCGAGCGTATTTTAGCGAAACTTGAGTATGTCACAATTGAAATCAACATCACATATAGGAAAGATGGGTTTTCTTCTGAACCTATAGAGCGCCAATAAAAAATATTTTAAAATTGGTATTTATTTTAAACAATATTTATTGGCACTTTATAGGCTGCTGCCTGCACTGTACTGGAAACTTTTAATTTTTTTCATTATTATATGCATTCGAATAAAATTGCATTTAACCATGGATTTGCTTCTCTTGATTTTTAGATTCTAAACTTGTGCTATAAAAATTTTTAATTTTAATGGAGTCTTTGAGTTTTCTTTTGGCTATGCTTAATTAGGTGTTTGAATTCTAACAAAAAGTTGTAATCTTTTAATTCTTGTTCTTCAATTTCAAACTCATTATCAGTTATTGTTTTTTTTTGTATATATTCTGAATCATTCTCATGTATGCACTTTTCGTCGCTCAAATATTAATTTACTTAGCATTACGTATTCAACACATTTTTGCTTGATTTGGTGCTTGGAGTTGATCACTATTATTGCTATTAGTTTTTGATAGTGCCATTTCAAGAAACAAATGTATGCTATATGTGAATAGTTTAAAGAATTATTATATTGCTATTCTTATCTAATTATTATTTATTCCAAGCTGATGAAAACAAAGACAGCAATGAGTAAAGTGACAGCAGTAAATAAAGCGTCTGATGATCGGATGCCATCGACTTGTCCGAAAGCGCTGCTGGGGGTCTTGGTGATATTGATATTTGATATACTTGATGATTTAGTTCCATTAATGCTTTTGGTTGCGCTAGGCGTGCTAGTTGCGGTGGAGGCATCGCTAGATGATGGTGATACTGGTGATGCTGTGGTGATCCTGATGGTGATATTCCTGGTCCGATGATGGTGGTGGTTGGTGAGGGATCGTCAGCATTCGTTGTTGATATCATAAAAAAATAGATAAAAATAATGACAATGGCGAAGAATTTTAGTTTATTTCTATAATGTTTTTTGTCATAATTTTAAGACATCATTTTTTTTTAATTTTGCTTGTTTTAGAAATATAAAATCGAGAAGAAAAGTGTGAGTTGTTAAAAATTCAGTTATAAGCCCTTCCTTAAATGATATATGTACATGTGTACTACGTAATGCTAAATACATGTACATGTAATATCAATATGTTGTGATAAACATCACACTTGGATACATCGCACACCGTCTCTCTTTCTCGTTAGTATTTTGATGCACATACCAGTACATCATCAATCTGACACTATTTTTCCAGTTTTCTGATCATATAAAATAGAATTTCTTTGCAAAATCAATATTGATATTGTTGTAAGTATCTTTTTAAGTTTGTTGAAAGCTTTTTCTTGATTGACAGTTCAAACAAAAGTAATATTATTTCAAAATAGTTTGAACAATAGTGCGGCTATTTGCGAAAAGCCTTTGATGAATTTTCAGTAGTATTTAGCTAGTCCAAGAAATGATCAAAGTTCTTTTACTGTATTAGATTGTGGGAAGTTAATAATCTTTTGTATGATCAAAGGGTTAGGTGAGATTCCATCTTCATTTATTACGTGTTCAAGGAAGAGTAATTCTTTTTGAATGAAATTACATTTGGTTTTGTTGAGGTTTAGTCCAGCTTCTCTTATTCATTGGAATATGAGTCGCAAATATTGTAAGTGTTCTTCAAATATTTGGAAGAAGATATTAATATCATCAATATAAACCATAATAAATTTCTAATTGTAGTTTTCAAGTATATTGTCTATTGCTTTTTGAAAGGTGGAAGATCTATTATATACATCAAAGGACATAACATTAAATTCATATAGTCCTTCACAAGAAATGAAAGCTGTTTTTTGAATACTATCAGGATATATTCCAATTTGCCAAAATTCATTGATCAGATCAGTTAAGGAAATCATTTTGCTTTATCAAGAGCATTTATCATTTTGTTAATTTGGAATAGCAAATAGATATTTTTTCTTGTGATAGAATTAAGTTTGTGATAATCAACACAGAGTCTTTTTTTTCTATTCTTCTTTATTACTACAATAATAGATGAGACCCAGGAACTAGTTGAAGATTAAGCTATTTCAGCATCTATTATTTTTTGAATTTTATTTGAAATAAATTCTTGATTAGATAATATTGCTCAGTATGCTTTTTGTCTAATTGGTTATTCATTACTGATATTAATTATATGTTGAACTTTATTGATCCTTTCAAGTTCGTGAAGTTTAGCAGCAAATATGTTATTGAATTTTTCCAATAGTTAATCTTGTTCTTTAGTTAGTTCTTGTCATTCAATTGATTTGACTTTTTCTTGATTTAGGAAATATATTATCATATCTTCACTATTTGTTGATCTAAATTTACTAGTTCTATGACTAGATTCTTTTAATTCTTAATAAGTATATATTGGTTATAATTTTTTAATTGAAGCTAGTTATAAGAATATTATTTATACATTTTGTTATTTAATTGAATAGTATAATCTTCATTGAATTAATTATCTAATATTATACTAATATTTTCAGTATAATAAGAGTTAATAATATCATCTTTGATATTGATTTCTTTGAATGTGAGAGATGATTGAGATATTAATTGACAAACAATGCCAACAGGTATTTTTATAGTGATAAATAAGTCAATTAATATTATTTGTTGTAATTTGATAATAAGTAATTATTTTCTGATATATTTAATATTGAAATTAGCATTATTTTTATGAGTTCATTCTGGCATTTTACCTTTGTTATCATTATTATATACTTTGATAGCAAGATTGGTATTTTTAATTTCAATGTTATTATGAATAATTATAATATCATCTGAATTATATTTATCTGAAATTTCTTTATATAATTCATAAGTACTTTCATCATTAGAGATTATTTTACTTTTCATTTAATTAATTTTAATTTGAACTTCTTTGCATAGTAGTAGATTTCATTGAATATATCTTGTAAATTGGTAATGTCAAGTATTTGAAGGGGTATGACTTTGATATTTTTAATTTTTTCTAATAACTTATTTGATTCAGTAATATATTAATTAATTTCTTGAACAGGTTCTTCTTTGATTATTGAATACATAGATGTTTTGTCTTTGTTGATTTCTATAGGTAATTAATCAATAACTGCTTGTTCTGATTATATATAATTATCACAATAATTTGAATTACAGAGAATAAAACAATCTTCAAAAGTTTGACATTAATTAATTCAAGTTTGATAAGTTATAGTCATTATTCTGAAGAGATTTGTTAATAGATCAAGTGAAATATTTCAGTGACTGAGACTTTTTCTAATCTATTATACTTAATATATTTAATTTTTTTCAATATCTTTTTTTTATATATATCAAGATAATATTGCTTTTCCAATTTTATTATAGACTGAATATATATTAATCAAAAGAGATTATTTTCTGAATTTTTGAATAATTTCAGAATTTTTGTGCCATTCACTATGATTAAACCAAAAGATATATTGATATTTATAAGTATAAAAGTATCATTTCTCATAGTTATCAGTAATATACATATTTCTGGATTCATCTCAATCTCCACAGTATGAATAAGATAGAAAATTAAGTTACTTTTCTTTATGACATTGTTTATAAGTCACTTTGAAAATATTTTTTGAGATAAGATATGATTTGAAATAATATTTTTCAATATATTTTTGACACATCTTTTATTTTACTATTTCAAAAATTAGATTGATTACTTGTCAGATTTCACCAAAGATATCAAAGTATTGATTAAAATACTGAGTCTTTAAATAAAGTTGTTTTATTTTATCAGCCCAATTATTACTAGTTTTGTATTTGATATAATATGACTTATGTCTTTCAATAATAATTCAGTCAGCTAAATTATTATAGTATTAATAGCGTTGTTGTTCTGGAGTATATAATTAGTTATAGAATCAGCATTATATGTTTAATCCTTTTCAGTCAAAAGATTATCAACTATTCCATTTATATTCTTATTGAAATTTTTTATCAAGTTATTGAATATCATCCTAGGTAAACTTTTTTTATTGAACTTTAATTTCTTCTTCATATTGTTATATAACAAATTTTGATTAAATATTATATTGAATCATTTATATTTAATGTTATTGGATTATAAATATCTTATATCTTATTAAAAGAATTTAATCACATAGAATAAGCAAATAAATAAGCAAGTAAATAAATAAATAAGTAAATAAATGAGCGAACAAGCAAATGAATAAGTAAATATTGGATCAATAGAATGTAAGTGATATAGTAAACATAAATTTATATAGCTGATAAACTATATTTTGAATTTGTATAAAAGCAATATGTATTATAGTTATTAAAATTAGATATAAACAAGTTCTTTTAAATAGTAATTCTTAATTATCACATCTAATTAGTTATCACATAGTTTTGATCATTCAAAGAAGTAAAGTTTGTACTTTATATAGAGTAGATAGTAGAGATAATACAGCAAGTATGTGATGCTTATATATTACCTATTGCAACACATTGCAACTCCAAAATTTTATAAGTTGTAACTAATTGCAACTAGGTGATGTTTTATTTATTATTATATTATAATAATTGTCACACTATCTTTAGTAAGTAGTCAAGCATAAACTTTTCTCTATACACCTTTGACAAAATATTCTTGTTTCTTATATAATTACTTAGTATTATTATTATAAGTATTAACAGATCTTCAATTAATATTATAGTAGCTTAAGCAAGATTATTAGAAGTGCTATAAAAGCTATTATTTTAATACTAGATTATCTAAACACATTTATAATAAAATCTATTGAATATTATATTAAATAAAAAAATTATTATTATAATTTATAAATCTGTTTTTGAAATTATATTGTTGATAATATATTGCTCATAAACTTATTTTTAATTTTGTATTACTAATAATACATTATTTATCTTTAATCTTGTATTACTAATAATACAAATATTATAATCTTTATAACTTTGACTCTAAGATTTTGAGAACTCTTTCTAGTAATCCAAATTATTGCATTAAATGAACATAATTATTATCAATCTTTAAATGGTTTTGTCACTAGTACTTTTAGTACTTATTTACATTCAGTCTAATAGTTATAAAATATTATTAATACTTTAAATTATCATTAAGACATTGGAAGTTTCCCTTTGAATATTTCTTAAATTTTATAAATACCTTTGAGTATTTCAAAAATTAATTATAATAGTAATAATATGCTTGTATATTATTAATTATTTTCATATTTCTAATAATTTTAGTTGATATATCTTCACTACTAATATAATTGATATTTCTTTTGTGAATATTGATTGGCATTTATACTTTTTCAGTTTTTGATTTTACATTTTCTAATTGAACTTATCATTAATATAATTGTATTATTATCCAGTTATTTTTGTAGTCAAATATTAAAAAGTTATAACTCTTCAAGTTTTGTTCTTCAAATTTGTCTTCATTAGAACTTGATTCATTATCAGAATCTTTAGAAAATTCATCTGAACTATCATAATTTTATCTATAAATAAATTTGATTTTGATAGTTTCTTTTGATTGTTTCAATTAAATATTATAGTTCTATTATATAGATTGAGTTGATTTTGATTTTGTTTAGCTAGTTCATTCTAACTAATATACTATAGGTATGAGCTTCAGTAATATTAATATTAGCAGAAATTACAATTTTGATAATTGTGATTGGAAAGTTATTAATTGCTCCAAGAGATTATTTAGATTTATTATTGATATCAGATATTGTGATGTTAAATTTGTGTTAAACTTTGATTTTATATTTTTTGAGAAAATTA